GTGTAGCCTCTGCTTACTAAGAATGATTAATTTGAAAGGGAGCTGAAGGATGCGACTGTAGTCTGTTTACGGTTCTATTCCATAATTTGGCTGGAGTGACTGAGGAAAACCACGAAAAACCCAGACTATCCGACTTCGCGAATATTAACGAGGAATGACAACTACTCACTCGTGATGTTTTGCTTAATGATGTTTAATTAATATTGTTCAGTTTTTAAGATCACTTCCCACCAATCTTTTTTTTTCCTTGGCACTACAGCTCCAGTGGGCCTAGGCCTACCTCTATGAACTTCTCCATTCACTTCGGTTTTTCTAGATCTTACACGTTAGGTAGGACCCCTTGGGCGGGTGATCAGCTCGTCGCAAGGCCTCTACTTGTACATAAACAGAGAAACGCACACACACAAACTAAACATCGATGCCCTGAGTGGGATTCAAACACACGATCCCGGTTTCCAAGAGAAGGAAGACAGTACATGCCTTAGACCGCTCGGCTACCGTGACCGGCAGTGTATAAGAATAATATATAAGAATTCAGTTCGTACCTCACAGGAAACCGATCCGAACCCACGATCCCGGCTTCCGAGCGAGCGAAGACATTGCATGCCTTAGACCGCTCAGCTACTGTGACCGGCCTCCCACCAATCTTACCAGAATGAAATCTTACTTTCGGTAGTATTTGCAGATCACAGTATTAGTAAATTAAAAGCGGAAAAAAAAATATATTCTAATGCATTGTTGGGGTTTATACAAATATTGGGTTCATACTGTCCTGTGCTAGAGTCGGGATAGCCACTGGCTACGAACTGGATGACTAAGGGTTCGGAGTTCGCGTCCATTTTCACTCTTCCTTGTCGTCCAGACCAGTTCTGGTTGGCTGCTTCCCTGAGTTAAAGCGGCAGGGACGTGAAGCTGACCACTCACCTCCAGCAAGTGCCGATGTCAGGAAAATGTGGATCTATACATTCACTCCCCCATACGCCCTCGTGGTGTAGTGGTTAATTGGTTAAGCAGATGGGTAACTGTGCCTTACTGTCTTGTGCTAGATTCAGCGCACCGTATTTCTACTGTAACTGGCCACTTAGCTTTACGTTACGTTACTTACTCTTGGCTGCTAACATTGCGCCAGTCATACGAATATAATGAATGCAATTTATTTGAATATCTCTCAACACTGATGACGTATCGGTTTGGAACTGCATCAGCGTAACTGCTTAAGGAATTTGAGAGAAGAAGAAAAGCACAAAAACGCGACTTTATTTGTTTGTTTGTTTGTTTTATTCATTTCTGCATCAAACCGAGCAGAATAGGTGATGGATGTTCATGAATAATGAATTGAAAGGGAATAGAGTGCCGTGACCCATATTTAAGGACGTTCTGAATCCTTTGCTAATGGCACCATGCGAAATCTGTAGTCAGGATTTGTTTTTTGGGGTTAATGATCATGAGAGACATCATGGAGGAAATCAAGCGTACCAGAAGTGGGCGGGATACAAACCCTCGACCCCGTGACCCAAGACGAACTACGTTATTACTCCTAATGTTTATTGGGTTTGAGGGTCAGTTTCCGAGGCAGCACATTAAAAGCAGTGTCCTGGTGTGTGTGTGCAAGAACCGTTCTGAAACACAGTTGGAATTAGAACGTACATTTCTGAAACCCAAAATGGAAACAAATCAGAATGAAATCTTATTTAGTTCCAGGAGACAATGAGAACTGCGTGCAGGGGATACAGGCTTCAGTGGAAGAGTATAAAACAAGGCAAAATTGTCCCTTTCCTTAATTAATTAAGCAGCACACCATGAACACGCATGTGGGAGTGGAGGTATAGCTCCACAATTCTTGACTTCAGCACTAAATGGAGCTTCACGCCTAGACGACTTTACGCTTTGGGAAACAGCCCGCAATACACATCGAACAGGAACTTAAATGTTCCCAGGGCCTATCTGGACATTGAGAGCAGAGAACAATTTCTTTTGCTTGCCAGAAATCGAACCCCAATCGTCCCATCCATAGACAGTCGCTATATATATTTTTTTCTGTGGCGCTACAGCCCCCAATTTGGGCCTAGGCCTACCTCCATGAAACTCTCTGTGTCACTTGGTTTACTAGATCTTACACATTCGGTAGGACTCCTTGGGCGAGTGATCAGCTCGTCGCAAGGCCTCTACCTGTAGACAAACACAGAAAAACGCGCA